CATTTTAGATCAATGACCCGTCATCGTAACTGTCTTAAGAAGCCTTGACATAACAGTTGCAAATAATAGCTACGTTCCACAATAAAAGCATCTGAACTTATTAGTATCAACAAATCATGAAGTCTTTCAAATTGATGGAAAATGTCAGTTTGTAAATCTACCATTAGATTGTTACTCATGGTTTTGCCTTCTGCATTACACAGGAGGGCCCACAACACCAGCAGACAGTGACTCAGAGAGAACAGTGGCATGTTGAGCATAGCATCTTAACTTAACCCATCAGCAGGTTCGGCTCATTTTTCTCAACTAATGCTCAGCAAATTTCCAGACACCAGCCTGAGGGGATGAAAAAGGCCAGTCACTGCCGACAGGCGTGTGGGCACGAGGAAAGTAATTAGTCACAAAGAATGCGGAAAGAGTTCAGAGGTCTGGCTGTCAAGGACCATTAGCATCTGACTAACACTGTCTGCTGAAAATGCAATGCAAGTTTCTTGCACATAAATAAACTTAAACCAGACACTAACATTGAAACTTTGAAGACGACCATAGACATTTTTCTTGGCAACTCTGCTAACAATTCAAAGCTGCCTACACAGATGAAAAAAGAACACTTCAAATTGGTCAGTTTGGAACATTCATTTGTTGCAGTGCACTTCCGGGAGATCAACAAAGGAGTTTTGCTGCAGACAAAATAACCTTCAATGCTGTATTTATGCTGAACAGCCACTGCAATGCCAGCTGCAGCTTCTTTTGCTGTGAGAAACAATCCCATAAGTATGGAAGCTTTTTTTCTCACTTCTGATATCCGGAGACACTGATTCAAATGCACATGGTGATAGGGCAAATGGAAAGACAGAAGCAAATGTGTTAATGTACCAATTACACATAAATAGACTTTTAGAATTCAAAGTCCTCTCTCCTCCCACCTTAATACAACTTTGTATAGTGTACTGCAAGTTGGATAATTAAGGGGGATCATAAACACATTGCAAAAACCTTATTTTATTTCTATTGTTTATATATTATGTTCAAATGCAATTTACTCTTTAAGTTCTATACTTCATTCAGGCTTAAGCAGTGCTTTGCAAGGTCTCCATGGAGAGTATCTGAAGTCAGTTAATTAAAGAAACTACTTTAACTAACTAGGCAGCACAGTGGCACTGGTGTTAGCACTGCTGCCTGATAGCACCAAAGACCCAGATTCAATTTCAGCCTTCAGTGACTGTGCAAACTCCACACAGACATTCTCCCCATGTCTGCATGGGATTCCTCCAGTTTTCTCCCACAGTCCAAAGATGTGCGGGTTCGGTGGATTGGCCACGCTAAATTGGAATGCTTTTTGGAGGGTCGGTGCAGACTTGATGGGCTGAATGGCCTTTTCTGCACTGTAGGGATTCTATGATTCTAACTGCTTTTCTGTACCTGAGGTAGAGCCAACTCAAGCATCTCAGTGGATTTTGCACTGAGTGTTACTTTGAACAGGGAGTTGGGCGAATAGGGGAGCTAGGGGGAAAAAGTGCTTTTGCTTTGCTTTTCCTAACTTTTTCTCTCTACAGGATTCGGTTCTTGACTACAGGGAAGGAAGCTGTTTGGTGAATACCTTGTGAGAGATGACAATTTAATCTACACCTAAGATTTAGAATATAGTCTAGGTTTAAAAAAGGAAAACAAATAATTGAATAAAATAATAATTAAGCAGTTAATTAAATTACATTAAATACAGCAGTGAGATCATTTGGGGGGTTGGGGTGGAGAAGGAAGAAGGCATCACGGTATTTAGCACAACAGATCTTCTGATTTGATCTGTTATTCATGGACAGGGGAGCTAAAGTAGGTAAGGGACCCAGAGGACCAGCGGCTAGCGGCCTTAGTAACTGTCCAACATTTGCCCTAAAGTTCTTTCAGCTTGTTGAGATGAGATCAGGGACTGCAATGCGGATGAACTAACTGCCCACAGCCATCGTGGTACAAGAAACCATTCATGTGGATGTGCAAAACAAATGTAGTAGTGGGGACACTAGGGGATTGACAGTTTTTTTTCAAAGACCAAGACTCCAGAAAGCGGAGATATCTGCCCAGTGCCTGAATTTGGGACATCAGCTGAGGGTTAAAGTGGAAGGAAGTTAGATCCAGTCATTATGGTCCACATAGGTACCAATGACATAGGCATGGCAAGCAAAGAGTTTCTGCATAGTAAATATGTGGAGCTAGGTACCAAATTAAGAAGAACCACAGAGGTAATAATCTCTGGATTAATACCTGGAGCACATAGAAATTGGGAGGGGGCAAATAACATGTGAGAAATTAACTAGTTTAAATATCGAAAACTGTTGAAGTGGGTACCAGTTCATGGGCATTAGTACCAACGCTGGGGTGAGTAGAAGCTCTAATGTTGGGTCAATCTACACCTGAACCATGTCGGGGCTGTGTCCTAGTGAATTGCCTAACTAGGGAAGTACAGACGGTTTTAAACTAAATAGTTGGGTCCAGGGATCCAATCTGGCAAGATCAAATCAAACAGTATAGACAAGGCAACAACGATTGGGAAACAATAAACAGACCATGACAACAAGGGATACAGATTACAAATCTAAGAGCAAATCAACAATGTTAGAGGTTACAAAATAATAATTAAAAGATTAAACTAAAGCCTCTGTATGTGAAAGCATGAAGCTTTCAAAACTAAACACATAAACTGATAGCATTGTATGAGAAAAATGAAGTTAGAAATATAAATTCACATTGAGAGATTTTCAACAGATATTTAAAGAAGAAAATAGTTTACAAAGTGAACAGTGGTCCAACAGAAAGCAAGTCTAGGGAATTACTATTGGAAAATAAAAGACTTGGCAGATGAAATAATCAGGTGTTTTACATTGGTCTTAGTTATTGAGCATACAAATAATTTCCCAGAAATAACTGTAAATCAGAAAATGGAAAGGAGAGAGAAACACACAGAATTACAAATCAAGGAAGTGAGCACTGGGCAAATTGTTGGAGCGGTGGGCTGACAAATTCCCAGATCCTGATGCACATCATTTGAGGAATTTAAATAAGTGGCAAATGAAATAGTGAATGTATTGGCTTTAGCTTTTCAAACTTCCCTGTATTTAGTGAAGGTACCATTAGATTGGAAAATAGTGAATGTAATTCCTTCATTCAAAAAAATGAGGGAAGACAAAAAAAAAACAGGTCAGTTAGCTCAACAACTCAGAGGAAAGATGTTAAAAGCTATTATTAAAGACTTCAGAGCTCTAGAAAAAAAAAGGTAATCAGGTGGAGGCAACATGATTGCAAATAAGAATTCACATTTAACCAATTTATTGGAGTTTTCAAAAAGAAAAATGAAAATCTGTGAAATAAGGGCAAAATCAGTGGATACAATGTACTTAGACGCTCAGAGGTGCTACCTCAAAGGATTTTGTGAAAATAAAAGCTCATTGTGTAGGGAGTAACACATTGGTATGGGTAGAAATTTGGTTAGCTAACCAGGAAACATAGTAGACATAACTGGGTCATTTTCTGGTCAGTAAGAAGCAACAGCAATGTGCCACAGTGATCAGGCCAGTGATCCCAACTTCCTTCTGGTTGTATAAATGATTTGGATGAAGGGATCAAAGTTATGGTTGCTAAATTTGCTGATGACACAAATGTAAGTAGGATAGTACATTCTGAAGAGCACATAAGGAAGCTACCAAAAGATATAGATGGGTGTAGTGGGCAAAAATCTGTCAAATAGACTATAACATGGGAAAATGTGAAATCCATTTTAGCAGGAAGAATTTTTAAAAAGTATAATATTTAAATGGCAAGAGATTGCAAAGCTCTGAGATGTAGAGGGATTTAAGTGTCTGCTGCATGAATCACAAAATATGAATACTCAGATACAGCAAGAAACTAAGAACGTTAATGTTATTGTTTATTGCAAAAGTAGGAAGATTCCTTTTCAGTTAAACGGCATTGATGTGACCACACCTGGAGTACTGTGTACAGTTTTGGTCTCCTTATTTAAGGAAGGATGTAAATATCTTGCAGATAGTTCACAGAAGGTTTGCTGGACTATTACCTGGAATGGGCAGGTTGTATAATGAGTAAAAGTTGGATATGCTAGGCTTGTATCAACTGAAGTTTAAAAGAGCAAGAGGCAATATGATTAAAACATACAAGATCCTGAGCAGTTTTGACAGGATAAATGTGGAAAGGATTTTCTTTCTTATGGGAAAACCCCAGAACCAGGGAGGATTGTTTAAAAATGAGAGGTCACCCACTTCATACAAACACGAGAAGAATTTCTCTCACACTGCGGTCTTGAGTCTTTGGATCTCATTGAATAGCGGAACAAACTCGATTAAGCGAATGATCTACTTCTGCTTCTATGTCTTATGAGAAATTTTTATGGTCAGACCAACAGATAAAATAAGGAATTGACAAACTGAAAAAGGTGGGTGATGGATTTCAACAGGTATTTGAAATAAAATTTAAATAAGTGCACTAAGTAAGCTGTTAGCAGAGACAGAGAGCAAAACTCTGTCATGGGGACTTGGCTGTGTCTAGAGACTTGGTGATGATGTCGATCAGTGATCCACCAATTAAACTGGGCAAAGGAAACTTCAACTTGGAGACTAATTTCTTTTCCCATAACTTCTTACCACAATCCCATCCGTCAGCGTGCTGCCCGAGAACCGCTTGGCCAACAGCCCCTCGAAATTTGTTGTTCTTTGAATTGCAAACAGCAGCAACTTCACTTCAATCTCCTTGGCTCTTGTGCGCATTATTTTAGCCAGCTCAATCCTAAAACAGTGGGGAAAACATGTCTTTAGGAAACATTCCCATCCTCACATTTTGAGCATTAAAACGTACAAACACACAAAGGACAAGAGTAGGCCATTCAGCCTGATCCACCATTCAACAGGATCATGGCAGATCTGAGTGTAATCTCAAACCCACATTCCCACCAAAACCTGACACCCTAACCCAAACCCCGATAACCTTTCAACCCCTTCAACATATTCAAGAAAAGGAGAAGAATTAACTTAACAAACTCGGGCAAAAATCAAAATGTTTCTCACGTTCTATTTAGCATTTCCTATTTTGACAGCTTCCGAAGTAGGGTCTTAGTTTCAGGTGCTATTGCATCTGGTCACCATAAAGGATATTTTTTAAATAAGAGATGACAGTCTAATAAAACCTGTATATTAGGGAAGCCATGCCCTTCATTGCTTTTGGAAGCACAAGAGGAATTCGTGGCAATCTGATAAAAATAGAGGATAAACAATTAACATCACATATCTGCTTTATACCTGGTGACATGGCAAAACTCCACAGTGATCCGTTCACTCATGCACCATTCCTGTGGGAACATCCGGCCATATTTCTCTTCATAATCTACCAGTTGGCGTTTAATCCATGCATAGCGTCGATCTATCTTATCCAGCCATGCCACCTAAACAAAGTATTAACATACAAGGCTCAGAACACAATGCAGTTTTCCCAAATGCATAACCTCAGCAGCTGTTTGTCAGCTTCCTATGTGCAAATTTCTCACAGCCGCAAAGTAAAACAGCTTGATTCATTAAGTCTTCCCATCATCCAGCCTTAGCAAATACTGCATGCATACTCTTGGGTTGCTGATCACTAGGTTAAGACTCCGATCCTGATGAATCTCATGCAACACCAAAACAGACCATTAAACTTACAGGTACAATATATGAAATGCACTATATGTAGAAGACTGAGCATCAAACTAATTTGTTTGCTCCTCGCTTTAACAAACTCGCTAACAGAATGGCAACAAAAGTTTAACTACAATAAAGGACACAAGGGACAAAGCCATGAAAGTAAATATAAATAGATGATCCAATTACTGTTTAGTCTATTTCATGGCCTTTGACCCAACACAGTTATGAATCAGTCAACTTGTATGGGTCCAGGAATGCAGGGTTGTCAAGTGGTTCACAAATTCATAACAAGGTCTTTCCTGTTATACTAACAAGGTCATGTAAGCTTTACCTTCCAATTTGCTTTTCTTTTATAACCTTATATTACCATAACAAGATATATATTCTCATATTTCTAGAATAACAATTTAATTTTGTCCTTCAACTCTCCTGGAAGCACCAGAATCTCAGTCTCGCAATCTACTAGCATTCTTCACACCAAATCGAAACATAACATTAAGATCGTGGAGAGCACCACATCTGAGGCCAGTCCCAGCACTGACCACAGAAGGAACTTTCCAACAGGAGTCACTGAATAGTGATCAGGAACGGCAACCATGGTCACTACTTTTTTCCATGGTTTAGCTACTGAAACCAAACATTGAATAATTCTGCAAGAGCAGAAATCTTAAAACTAACTTTTCCAAAGTGCAAATTCTCTGAAGTGCAAATTTGAGTTCATCCAGTAGGACTCCTAATTTCATTCTTATAAAAAAAACAATGGTTCCAAATGCCAACTGCAGAACAAAGACCGCCCTTCTGAGCCTGCTAATAATTACTGCAAGCTAAAGTATTCATTCAGCTTCGTGCTTACATCTTGGTTTTCTTGGAACAGAACAAGGTACTCTGAAAGATGTTGCTTTGTAAACTTTTTAATGATTTCCTGTTTAATTTTGGGATCCAGCACATTGGCAACAAGGCAGGCATCACGTAGAACATTACTGGGACCCGCTGGCCTCTGCAAAAATGAAAAGGAAAATTCACCAAAAATTACATGTGTGTTCAATGAATACAATAGACGTTTTCTTTTACACATCAGTTATGGGTCTATTGTATTTCAGGAGGGACTATCATAACCCAATGCTCATGAGGTATATCCTCTATTGTAGAAACTAAGCCTTTTTTCTCATGTTGTTGGATCGCAGTTACGAAATTATGATTTAATATGACTGCAGCTCAATGTGTCAGGAAACCAGTTTTCATTTAGTACTGAAATTGCTCAACGTACATAGACATGATTCATAAAATACATTTTTGTTCAATGTTTATGACTTCAGTCTTCCCAAACTGAGGTTATGCTGAAAACTTTAAATTCAAAGGTGAAGCTCAATTGACCCTTAATTCAGAAGGTCATTTAACTTTGACAGGAATACAATTTTAATGCAAAACTGGAAACAAAATCTCTCAAATCCAAAGTTTTTTTTCCTCCAACTTTGACTCCCAATGGCACTAGTCTAGTATCTGAGATATTAGATATGCCAACAGGTTCCCCTACCAACATTTTTATTCCCTCTTTCTAAGTAGAAAAATAATCTAGCTTCCCACTTCATAGTTCCACATAAAAACAGAGCTAAGTAAACTGGATAGGTGAAATAACATCATACAATCTTGGCACAGAACATCCAAACAGAAACTAGATTGTGCATTTCTAAATATTTGTTTTCCTCATTGTGGTGACCAGGACACGTTTTGATTTGAAATTTGCTGCTGCTGCCTTTGTTATGTTGACAATAACTGATCGTAACAGGCAAGGAATACTACAAATATATTGAAACTGGTCAGCATTTCAAAATAGGAAGGACTGATTTGCATTTTCGATGAGACTTTTCTGAACTGTGCAGGGATCCTCATCTTATGCTGATCTATTTTCAGAGGCTAAGGGGCTGGATGAAAAATCACTGCACTTTCCCATTTTGTTTCATATGCAATTTTTTTCCTTGTCTACTTACATTGGACAAGGATCTGGGACAAGATCAACAATTCATTTTCTCTACTAATATCAAGTATTCGGCAGCACAATGTACAGAAAGTCGCACTGACAGAAAATGGAGATGGATGTTCAAACAGTTATCAAATTAATGGGGGTAGTATGAAGCAACTAAACTTTAGCAGGACATTCTCACCTTTGACCCCTGAGATGGAAAAGCTTCTTCAAAATCTGCCAAGATCTGCTGTCCCAACTCAGTCTGAGCAGCTCGTACCCTAACAAAACAAAATCAGACTTTTCTTAAGTTCTATATTGCAGCTGTGAAAATAAATGGATATTAAACTGAGTTCTGCACTCTCAAAATGACATCAGATTTGATTGATAGAGATAAAAACCAGCAATAAAGAACAAATTATCGCTGTATATTTAGTTATTTTCTTACCTGGCTTGGTTGTTGCATTTATCGACATTAAAAGCTTGTTGATGTTAAGCACTTTTAAGATGTCCTGAGCATATGAATGCTGTGTAATACATACAACTTATTTACTTTAGGAGGATTATTTTACACCGTACAGTGTCAGCTGTGACACATTTGGTCGCATTCTTCATTCTGAATCAGATGATTGTAGGTTTAAGTCCCACTCTAGAAAGTTGAGCACAAAATCTAGGCATTACTGAAGGAGTGCTGCATTGTTAAACGCGCTGTCTCTTGGATGAGATATTGCCCTTTTAGACAGGCATAAAAGAACACTCCTCATTATTTAAAGAAGAACAGGGAGTGCTCCCTGGTGTGCTGACAATGTCTACCCATCAACTGACATCACTAAAATACAAGTATCTGTTCTTTATCACATTATTACTGTCAGTGGGATCTTGTGTGCACAAATTATCTGCCATGTCTCTTACTGTGGTTAGGCTTGAAAAGTACTTTACAGCTGTAATAAATCAAAAATCACAAAATGCTAGCAGCCAAGTTCAGCAGGTAATAGGGAAAGCAAATAGAATGTTGGCCTTTATTGGAAAGGGAAAACAATATAAAAATAGGGAAGCCTTGCTAAAATTATGCAAGGCCCCAGTCAGACCACAGCTGGAATACCATGAACAGTTTTGGGCCCCTTATAAGATATACTGGCATCAGTTCAGAGAAGGTTCGCGAGGTTAGACCTGGGTACGGAGGGGCTTGTCTTATGAGGAGAGATTAAGTAGGTGAGCCTGTACTCAGCACAGAAGAACAAGAGGCTAACTTAGTGAAACATACAAGATTCTTTGGGACTTGAGAGGGTAGATACAGAAAGGTTGTTTCCCTTTCTGGGAGCATCTAGGACCAGAGGGCTTCATCGCAAAATAATGGGTTGCACGTTTTAAACAGAGATTAAGAGACATTTCTTTTCCCGAAGCATAGTGCATCTATGGAATTCCTTACCACAGAAGGCTATAGGGGCTGGGTGGTTAGGTATATTCAAGGCGGAAATAAACAGATTACTTTTTTATATATCAGTAAGTGAATCAAAGATTACGGGGAAAAGGCAAGAAAGTGGAGTTGAGAATTATCACAGCAGGCCAAGCAGCATCATAGGAGCAGAGAGGCTGACGTTTCG